TTAATTTATTATAATATTTAGATTTTTATATAAACAACTAGCAAGTTTTATTCGTAAAATATTCTAGGCTTTCTAATATTATACCAATGTATAATTATTTGATAGATGTACTTGAAGTATATTGTGAAAAGGTTAATAGATTTAATGATATAATATTTGCTGTAAAAGCGGATTTAAAAAAATTAGAAATTTATTATGAAAAAACTGATGATTCAAATATATATACAATTGCAACTAGTAAGTAATATTAAATTATATTTTTTGTTTTTATAAATTTTTTAATAAAGCAATTTTTTTATTAAAATATTTGATTAATAAAATTTTATAGTACGTGATCCTCTTGATCCTCGATTAAACTTGGTTATTATGATAAAAAATAGAACAAAGTTTTATTCGTTATTCTAAAGAAACTATTCTTGATATTATAATAACAATTATACCCCTGCTGCTAGATTACAAGTTGAAAATGCTAATGATGAAAGTGATGTAATTTTAAATCATATTTTTGGTAAAAAACAAAATTTTAAACTAATTAAAGTGAAACTATATTTAAATGCTCGAGCAGCACGAAATCAAGGTATACTTCTTTGGTAGAAGGTATGTATTTATTGAAAAATTGTATAATAATAATTAATTCGATTATTAAATTTATATAGTGATACGAAATGAAATATCCATATTTAGATTAACTTGCGATTACAGGTAAAGTTAAAATACATATTTATTAATCATTTTAAGATTATTATTTAAATAAAGCAACAAGTGTTCCAGTAGAACGAGTTTTTTCTGGTGGTGCGAATTTAATAGCAACCAAAAGATGTGGTCTTAAAGCCAATACAATTCGTGCCTGTATGTGTTTGAAATCCTGGTGGCAATAATATATATAAAAATTCTAAATTAGAAAAATTAGAATGTATTATATGTATAAAAGAACTTTAAATATAATAAACTTTGAAATATACATTATCTGTATAAATAAATTTTTAATTACTTTCGGTATTAATATTATCCTTAAAATTTGAGTCGAATCCGAGTTAAACAATAATTGGGTCGGGTCGAACAATAATCGGGTCGAGTCGAATTCGAGTCCTGTAAATATTAATGGGTTCGAGTTCGAGTTTGCTTCAAACTCGATCCGACCCAAAATTTATGGAGCACTAATCAGTACAGTTAAATGCAATAAGAACGCGTTAGTTAAATATGAATAATAAAAAATTATAAAATACAATAACAGAAAATTTCGTAAATAATCCTTGATATCTCTATAACAAGTTACAATCCGTAATTATTACATATTAACTTTGATTATACAACCCAACCAAACAAATAATACATTTTTTCTCACAAGTACAGATACTTTCTATTATTTCACGTTCCAATATGTTATCCAGTCCGATAAATGCAATTATAAAGAAACAAAAATTAAAAACAAAAAAAATTCCACATAATATTTCTATAAAATATCACTCTAATACAAGTTTCCATAATCACATGATCTAGTAGTTATCCGGTCCGTAAATGCAATTATAAGCGTTAGTAAAGACAAAGATAAAAAATTAAAACATTAAAGTCAGAACAATGTAAACCAGTCTTAAAATATCATGTTTGGTATATCTCCATTCACGTCATAATTCAGTTCATAATTTTACTATATAATATTACCCCATTGTTATCCAATCAATTATACGGTTAGTAAAACATAATATTTGTATATATTTCCCAACTCATTATTCCAGCCTATTCATTCACATTTCCAATAAACGATCCAAATAGTTGTACATTCCAGTTAAAGAAAAGTTGAACGCGATGCATGAAGCAAAAGAACTCATAAACATAATCCCGGTCCACATAAATTTTCATCATAAATATGTTATTCCTCAAAATCTCTATAATATCAGCGTTAGTATTCTAGCCAAATCTAATTAATTTCATATATTTATCTCTTCTACATATGCTATCCACTTATTAATTCATGTTCATTAAAATTAAAGTTGTTAAAGAATAAAAACCAAAAAAACTATATGGCAATCCAGAAAATTTAGGTGCTTGTCTGTGATCTGTGCCATTTATGTCGATCATTAGGGTACCCTTTTATCTATCACAACACGTTTTACTAAGTATTCTGGGGGCACGGAAGGAATTTTTTTTGTTATGGAAATCCTAAACGTCACACATATCGTTTGACCTCTTATATGTCACCTGATCGACATAAAATGGCACAGATTACAGACGTGCTATAAAGAGTATCAATTTCGTCACTGCCTCTTCCTTTTACGTTATTTAATGGTACACCTATTCTTGTGACGCATTATTTTATAAACACTAACTGCTAAGGAGTAATTTGGTTGGTTGATAAATTTGACGTTTTTTGCCGATCATTCAATCTGTCAATAATGAGAGGAAACTCTTACAAATACCATTTTTGAAGCATATTTTCTGAAACTATTGTAATTTTATTTACGAGATAACTTAATTAACCAAATGATAGCCAAATTGGAAAATTAAATTATTACTGAAGAAACCGTTAGCTTTCATTTAATATCTGAGCAAGATTTGCGAATTAAACGAAATGATTCATTACAACAAAAGTGAAACATCTTTTGTTGGAATTTAATACTAATTCATTAATATATAACTAATTTCTCCATAGATTAATAAATATCTAAAAAATAAAGAGACTTGATTGTATATTTACCTTTACTTGAAGGATTATTTGTTTATTACAAAATAAATTAAATCAAACTTAAACTTACGTTGGATAAATATCATTAATTTGCGTATAATTCCAGTCAGAGTTTGTTGGGACTAAACAAATAAAGTTCCATGTAGATTAGTACTGTATAAGCTAAGTAAATATATAAGGTGATTATTGACTGAATATGAATATGTTATCCTTATCAAGTAAGATATAAAGTCGCGTGGAGTTCATTAATTAAATTAAAATGTTAGGCTTCTATTTAGCTTTGGAAATAATTTTTGATTTCATTTTAGTTTTAATTATTTATTATTTGCTGCATCGAATAAATAACAAGTACGTAATTTTCTTTTATTGTTGCCGTGCTTTTATAAATAAATATAGCAGATATACTAACTATATTGAATAATAAACTAACTGACAGACGCTTATCTAAATGTAATTGGGGTGGTGATCGTTGAATTACACCAAGTTAATTTAAAAGTGGAAAAGTTTCGCTAGCTCTTCTCTTCTTTTTTTTTTGATAGAGTTTGGCTAAAATTTTAAATAAAAAAAGAGATCGCTCTCATTTTTACACTATGGTTCTTCAATAATATAATTGTAAAAAATGATTATAAATTAAAATTTAACTTTTTGGTTGTAATAAATTATAAAGTAATTATACAATAACTTTATTAAATAAAAATTAAATTTAAACTTTTTGGTAGTAATAAATTACAAAGTAATGTTTAAAAAAAAAATAGATAAAAAAAAAATTTTTTTTAAATTTTATTTTATTTGATTTGATTGATTGGCCTGAATTTTATTAGGCCAGTTATAAGTTATAAGTTTAATCTGAATTTCTATTTTTTTATTTTTATTTTTTTTTATATCAGGTTATTTTTTATTTTATTTATCATAGTATTTGTTTTTTATATGCATTAGGTTACTTCACCAATTGAATAAATATAGTAATGTATTTTTTTTTTATTATATTTTTTTTATCTTCTAATTAATTAAGATTAAAAGAAAATTTTTATTAGTATTATAAAAAAAATTAGATATAAAATAGTCAACAGTTAACTGTTTTTATGAATTTGTAAAAAAATTGGAGTTAAAATTAGTTGGAATTCAGATAGCAAAAAAAGTATCTGAAATTGGAATTCCAATTTCAGTTAACTGATCTTTGAATCTTAATTTCAGACTTGAGAATTCTCAACTGCAGACGAAAATCAATTTTCATTAATCAATTATTCTCATTGCGCTGTTAGCTGGAGGGCTAGAAATAAAACTTTAGACGATATAATTCAGTCCTTCAAATTAATCACAATATCTTTATCACAATCACGCCTGTATGAAGACACAGCAAAAAGTAATAGTAAATGAATAACAAATATCATTATTGAACACTTGGTTTATTCACAAAACACTATCTCAAGTTATCTTTCAACTCAAGGGAAAATACATGCTATTTGTATAAAATAAACTAATAGTAATATAATATGATAAATATATCTAATATAATAAATATGACTAATATGATAAATATAATAAATAAAATAAATCTATCAAATATAACAAATTTAATAAAGTTAATAAAGTTAACAAATATGATAAATATGGACCATACCAATCTGTCATATATGTTAACTAAATCAGGTGATCGCTGCAGTCCGGATCGCGGCTTCAGCGCTTTTGATACTTATTCGAGTAAAGAATTTTAAATTCAGGTTAAAATGAATAAGTAAGGATTTCAACTAATTCATTTTTATAACATTCGATTGTTTACTGTAATACACCGGATCACAAAATAAACGATTTTGATCATATATAAATAAATTTTGCAAGAAATTATTTTTAACGTGTCTATATCCAAAAGATTATAACTCCGATCGAGATAAAATACTGAATAGACCATTTAATGTTTTATTAAAGGAAATAGGCACTATTCAACGTTAAAACTCTTAAAATATATAAATAACTGTAGAATAATTAATATATCAATAATTTTAATACTTATTTTGATTTTTAATTGTTCGTTTACCACTACTTATTCTAATTCTTTTGTTTCATAAGATTTATCTTCCAATAATTTAATATTTTTATTACTTCTGTCTATAAAAAAATTATATTATTTATTTTTTGAATTCATATATAAAATAATTTAAGTAAGTTATATATTACCATTATAACCTTCGATTTGATTACTTTCATGCTTTCGTTTACCTTTTTATAGGCAAAAGTTATTAATGATAATTATATTATTCTAAACTGCAATAAAAAGAAATATAATAATCACCATTAAAGGATGTGGTTTTTTCGTAATTTAATATGCCTAAAAAATTAAGTTGAATTATTATAATTTAAAATAATTCTAAAATACATAAAAAATTAAACCTACCAAATTCTGAAAATTCTGAAAAAGCAGATTGATTTCTTAAACTTGTTGATTCTGCGGAGTTTATCATGTTATTTAAAGATCTACTCTTATAAATAGCACCTGGATTGATTGTTGTTATAGGTCCAATTTCTGATGATTCAACAATAACTGTTTGATTTTTATATTCCAGATTTTTAATTTTATACACTTTATCACGGTTGTCATGAGCCGTTGGCCTTTTACTTTGATCAGGGTCCCAACATTCTTTCATTAGCTCAATGTAACCCTCAGGTGCGTTAATATTACTTGTTGGAGGACGTAAACCATCACAAATATCAATAATCAGCTCAGTATCATGAGCACGATCCCAAAAAGGTCTTCTGCCTGTCATATATTCCCACATAATCATACCAAAACTATAAATATCTGAAGCTGTGGTATATTTTTTCCCTTGAAGTGCCTCTGGGGACACATAAGGAATGATCCCATAAATTTCACTATCTTCATCTTCTGTAGCAGATTTATTACGGTGGATAATACCCTTTTTATGAATGTTATATAGCCCATCTGCAATACCAAATAAATGACCTAACTTTGTATTCCAACTAACATTAAAAAATTTATTAGCTATATAATGGGATAGGTCTTCTGTATTACAATAATCCATAACTAGCACAAATTCCTTGGTAATTGGATCTTGCGTAATTCCATAATACCGATTAATATGATTTGTTTCTTGGTGTTTATTTAATTGATAAGATATTTTGAGCTGAAAAGTTATCGATTTAGTAATATTGACATAAATAAATAAATAAATAAAAAATATATGTACCTCATTTAAATCCTTTGAAGTAAAGTTTTTAGAATTATTAATTTTCTTAAGGGCAACTTGTTTATTAGATATACGATTATATTTTTTTTTTTTGTTATTCCACCAAGTAATCGGACCATCAATCCAACCCTCCCTCGCCAATAAATTCTACATTTTCGAAGCTGTCATATGGAACAACCTCCATTTTGCCTTTAGAATAAGAATTAATTTGTGTACTTTTGATAAAAGCGTCAATAATTTCGTTTCCAATAGGATTAAAAATTGTATTTGTAAAATAACAATTACGGCAAATATTATGATCTTCTTCAGAAGGTTTTCTTCTTTTTTTACATTCTAAACATTTCTCAAATTTATGTTTGGGCTTTATTTTACCCGTGGATTCCATTTGCTGACTTGATGTGTCACTTGACAAGTCAATTTTACGATTAATATTGATTAATTGATTCATGATTGTTATAAAAATTCGTTTAACATTCAAAGCTACTACCTATATATGCTTTATTAACCCATATCATAAATAGAAGATATCCATTACATAAGTTCTAGAAAAAGAAATTCCTCATTTCATTTCCCGGCGGAAGTTTTTCATTATTATAGTCATTTCGGCCGATAATTTTTTTGCATCGGAATTATCAATTCCATAAACAAAAATTTCTAAAAAAGGTTCGATTTGAAGATCCTGCCAAGTGTTCAATACCGGTTTGACTCTGTCATTTTTCCCATTTTTGAAAGTTCATTTAAAGATTTATTGGTTAACTTATAAGTTTATGTTTATTTGCATGAAAAAAGAAAGGTAATCAGAATTCGCAAATGTATAACACGATAGACATGACGGATTCGTATTAGGTTCAACAGCAGAGGGGGGGGATTCATATGGAGTGATACGAAAAGGAGTGAAGCAAATGATTGGAGTATATCACTTGAAATGATAGGTATATTTTTTTTATATTTTTTTATACTAAAGTGACCTAACCTAACCCTAACCTACAAAAATTCAGTATAAAAAACCTGTTAACGTGACATACTCTAATCGAGACCGGATGAATTGAAAATCCAAAGCAAATTCAAGAATGGGATCGAGATTATGTATAAAAATATCTTCAACGTTTATTTATGATTTAAATAGTGCCTTTAATTCGCCTTTGGAATAATTATTCTTACTCCAAATATTTGTATTTATAGATATAATTTTTTCTCATTTTATCTGATGAAGTATAAGAAAATATTTCACAAATGCTGATGTGTTAGTTCTTCCGGTAGTGACATTACAAACAGGAGGATCTTAAAAACCATTTACGGATGTCTCCTAAAAATGTAAATTTCGAACATAAAAAATTTCAGAAAAAATTTTCTATAAAAGTTAATTAATTTGTCACAAAAATATAAAAATTATTCAAAACCTTTCTTGTCATTCAAAGTAACTTAGCACAAATTCCGTACAGAAAGCGGTATGTCTAGAAACGATCACGTTTGAGAACATTCTCTGACGCTTTTTTGTCAAATTCAGACACATTTATTTCAAAGAGATTTCGTAGATTCCGTTAATCAACTACAAAATTTGAATAAGTTTCAACAGAATAATTAGAACCGAGTTCGTCACTTAAGTATCTAGGGCGGTCAAATGTATTTTATAGAAAGAGTATCGCAACTTTAAATAAATATCTTGCGAAATTATCTATCAGAAATAAATTACAAAAAAAAGCTTGTACCATCTTAACCATATATGTAGTAAACTTTTTTTTTTTTTGAACTAACAAAGTCAATCTCTGGTTATTCCTACATGGAAAAATAATTTTGTTTCTGAAAATATCATCCTAACCTAAATCTGTTTATATCGAGAATAAAGAAGATAAACTAATTTGAAGGATTACTATTTCATTTATTCACTTTTAGTAGATTTCTTTAGGTTGGAATCGCTTTAATTTGCATTAGGTAAGTTTTTTTTATTAAACCACTTTTATTTTTTTAAACGGGTTTTGCCTTTGCGACGTCGTAGCATTTTTATTATTATTAATCTCTACTTTATTTCAAAAGTAAGCGCGGTATGTTTTTTATTATTTTCTTTTTTAAATTTTAAATTTTTTATTTAATTTTTTTACTTTCGCTTCAATTAATTATTATAGAGTTATGCCTCCGCGTCCCTAACATTTTTAATTTTTTTGTTGAAAATAGCGGTTTAAGAAATTTAAATGAGTACAAGAGGCAACTGAATAAGACATTTTAATAAAAAAATAAAATAAAATAAAATAAATTGAAGCAAATTTCTAATTTTTAGATAATTTTTATAATTTTTATTTTAAATTAATAAAAAAATATTTATTTATACTAATTAATTAAAAAGATAAAATAACTATCATTAAAAAAATTTGAATTATTTTCAAATCCTTTAAGACCATTTAGGACCTTAAGACTTTTCCCTGTTTTAGGTAATGCATTAAAATTTTTACTAATGCAAATAAGGATTATACATAAAACAAATTCTTTTCTCTATTTTTATATTTAAGCATAGGTAACTTTTAAATCATTTATTTTTCATATAATTTCAAGTTCTTATGCCATCAATAATTGCTAAATAAAAACCGCAAATGCATTCAAAAATATTTATAATAAATAGATCTTTCTTTAAAGAAATTACGCCAAATTGGGACACAGGAAAATTTTGATGCAAAATATTCCGCAGGTCTTACAATTTCGTATGCTATTGCGTCATCCAAAGGTTAATGGCTATATAAATTTACGAAGTACTACGGTCGAAAAATTTCGTATAATACAACTTATTAAACTTTCAAAGTACGTAGTACTTTGCAATAGTAATGACAAATGAATATTGACATGAAATCCAACTCTTTCATGGTATGTAATAAACTTATCTAAGATATGAATTTTAAGAGTTTAAATAAAGTTGTTTTATTGACGATTCTTTGATTCTTATCACGTGAAAACTATTTAACAGACCTTTTTTCCGAACATTTGCATAGTTTTCAAAAAAAAAATTAATAAAATAATATATACTTGCTAGGCATAAAAAATCATGTAGGCATTTAGCAACATAACCAATTAAAATCTGGGTTCTTAATACGTACAGGAAAAAAGTTCGATATGCTCTTAGAGCTTTTATGTCAATTACATTCAGCTTCAAAAATTAAAATTTAAAAATTTTCTAATGCTTCTAAATAAAATAAAATTAAAATCTATGGATTAAAAGTATGATATTTAATTTTAAGGATCAAGAATTTCTGAAATAATATTAGATGAATCATGTAGTGCAGTATCAGAGGAAATATACCAAAATACTATCTTGAAAGACTGCGGCATATATGCGGGATAGTTCTTGAGCTATTATTTGAGTGATGGGTAAAAGAAGAAAAACCTAAGTAATTATACCTGAAAACATCAGCTTAAATTTTTCCCATGGAGAGAAAACAATGGTTGGCCCGTTTTTGTTTGCTAGATAATATCTTTTTTTTCCATAAATACATAAGTGAATCACATTTTCACATGACACAAAATCATGTGCTGGAAAGACCGTAAAAATTTTGTTATATTCCATATCATTTTTTAGCATTACAAAATGATTTCAAATTGTTATTGATATTGTGTAATAAATTAATTCATTGTGGTACAGTAGCCATTTTTGAACTTTAAAATTTTCCCTAGTTTAGGGTGCGGCAATTTATTTAAGCATACAGTAATGTTTAACTAAATTCGGGATGATTTGCTGTTGATCATATAACAGATTATTACAAAAGGGAAATCCAAATGAAGATCCCAAAAACAAAAAGCCATGCTTTTTTTTATTGAATTTATTTGGTCTTGTTTTTCCCCCCTTTTCCTTTTCTACTTCAAATATTTTTTTTTTTATTATGGACACATTTTTATTAACGCTTTCAAACGACTTCAATAAGATATTAGAGAACGAACTTTGCTATGATTTGATCATTACTATAGGTAAAGAACCTGTTATCGATACTTTTAGAGTTCATTCTGCAATATTATGTGCGAGGTGTCCTTACTTTCAAGTAGCTTTATCAAATAATTGGATAAAGAAAGATGATGATAAATTCACTTTTTCTAAACCAAATATATATCCAAAGACATTTGAAGTGATATTAAGGTAAGTAAAGGATTCTTTTCAAGCGTTCTTGCGACACTTTATATTCAATTTTATTTTTTTTTAATTCCCTAGATATTTGTATGGTGGAACGATTAATTTAGATAGACAAGGATCTTCGGATTTAATCCTTCTTCTTGAAGCTTCAGATGAATTATGTTTGAATGAATTATGTGAATATATTCAAGATTGTATTATTACAAAACGAATATTTTGGTTACGAGAAAATTTTTCTTCCCTCGCAAAAACAGTTTATCAACATCCAACTTTTGCGAAATTGCAAAAGGTATTTACGGAAATGATTTATGAGGACCCTAAACGTTTATTCAAATTGGAATCTTTACCCGAGTTGCCCGAGGATACCCTTTTATTTTTGTTGAGTTGCGATGATTTCTTTTTGAAAGAGGTTCAAATATGGCAACAAATTATTAAATGGGGAACTTTACAAAATCCTCATTTGGATCAGGATGTTTCAAAATGGTCTAAAGAAGATTTTGAGATATTAAAAGTTCGATTACGAAAAAGTATTCCTTTAATCAGGTTTTATCAAATGTCGTTAAAAGAATTTAATGATAACGTTGTACCTTTTAGATCAATTTTACCAGGTAAGTTGGAAAATAATTTAGTTACAAAAAATAAAAAAAAAATTTAATTTAATTTTAATCATTATGTTTATTAGATGATCTTTATAAGAACGTATTAAAATATCATTCAAGATGGTTTAAATTTTACCCTAGAGTTCCAGCAAGAGTGAAACCAATTGATTCGACAATTGTAAACTATAAAGATGCCGCAATTTTGGCAAGTTGGATTGATGGTAAAGATAAAATTAATAATAAGGACACTTACGAATACCATGATAATCCTTATAACTTCAAGCTTCTCTATCGTGGAAGTCGTGATGGGTTCACTTATGGAGCTTTAAAAAAACATTGTTACTATAAGGGTCCAACAATTGTAGTGGCGAAAATTAAAGGAAAGCAAGAATTAATTGGAGGTTATAACCCATTGTATTGGACAACATCAGAATTACCTTATTCTTCTTCAAGAACAAAAAATGGTTTTATATTTTCCGCAAAAAGAAATAAGGATAATTTTCAAGAGGAAGCAACGGTAGCAAGGATCAAATATGATTATGCTCATTTTACAACTTATAGAGGTTATCCTTATCTGAGTTTTGGGTTTAATAATTTATCATTTCACGGTAGAGAATGTCATGTTAGATTTTCTCATTCCTTATGTTTCTTTCCTAGAATTAAGGTACCAGATAATTATCTTTTAGATGAATTCGAAGTCTTTGCCGTAATTCCAAAATCAAGTTTTAAATATTGGAAGAATAATTTAATATTTTATAGTTCATATATTTGTGACATAAGATTTTATAAGAGATGTTTTATTTTACTTGTAAAATTATTACTTTTAATCTTTTTATCATTTGTGTCATTAGGTTTCTTGATCAATTCCTGGAACCCTATAAGAACAGAGAATAATGATTCTAATGTATAATAATATAAAAGAATTAAGGCGATGATGTTTTAATAATTATATAATTACAATTGAAATAAAAAAAGGTGAAGAATTAAAGATTTTCTTCACTTCGATCGATTTCTACCTTTACTATTCGTTAAATTTTCATGCATCCAAAATGCTTTAAAAGATTTCTAAAAATCAATAATGATAAATCAAAAGATCATTTTTAGTTACTTTTAAAGAATTAAGCACATTTTTTTTGCAAAGAAAGTGTTCAGAATGAGATACTAGGTGAGTCTTGAATTTTCGTATGTAAAAAATACTTTGAACCAGAAATCCTATTGATAACTAATAACTTCTTCTTAGCATTTTGTTTTGATAAGGTTATAATAAGAAAAAATAATTTTAGATTCCAAAGCATGACTAATCTCAAATTTTAGGTTAAAGTTATAACATACACCATGAAAAGAATTAATCTTTCTTCACATTCTACTATAATGTTAATTTATTATAGTGATATCAGCCGTGAAGTAGGATACGACAGCTAAGTCAAAAACCAAAGCCATTTCGTCTCCGGAATTTTAAAAGACTGAGCCGTGACTGAATCGCTGTTTCTAATTACAATACATCGCTAAATTCTTAATTAACGAATGGGATTAAAATTTTTGTTAACATTAATATGCTAATGAATAAAATTATGATTGCTAATTTCAAATGAGAGTCGCGAACCAGTAGGTTGCTAAGACGATTAACATTGGACTGATTCGACTTTAGAATTTTCCACGGTTAAATACATTTACTAATAGACATTGCCTTTTTTAACAAAAAAATTATTATTTTTTGATTTATTTAGAATATACATGTTTGAACTATTTTTAATATATTAAAATTTATTATTGTTATTCATGTAATATAGACTAAATAATTAAAACAAATATTGAAAGTTAGTTATCGTCAATTAATAATAGATAATTCCTTGGTTTTTTCCTATACCAATCAACAGATAGCATTGTCTATATTTTTGTTCGTTAAATGTCATGTCTATATAAATATACAAGACTCGTTGTGCATCAAAAAATTTCTTTATTAGCTGCGATTTTATACAATTCAAGAGCCTTTTCTTTATCAACATCAACTACAATCCCATTATCGTAATAGTATCCAACTTTATATTGAGCTTCTAAGCATCCTTGATTAGCAGATTTCTTATAAAATTCAAATGCTCTAACTAAATTCTCACCAAAACCTTTTCCTAATTCGTAAAGTTCACCTAATTTATATAATGCAAATTTATTGTCGCTTTCCGCAGCCTTATGATACCAATAAAAAACTTTCTCTAAATTATTCACTATTTTATCATAATCTTCATATAACAATTCCATATTACTGTCGTTTATTTTAGCTGCTTCCTTATATAACTTGAATCCTATTTCTTTGTTAATCTCTGTTCCAATTCCGTTTATATAACAATAACCGAGGTAAAATTTAGCCTCCTCGAATCCGTTTTCAGCTGATTTTTTATAAAAATCAAAAGCTTTAAATTCATTTTTTTCAACACCATTTCCAAATTCATAATGTTCACCTAAATTAAGCAACCCAATATTATCTCCATTTTCTGCAGCTTTTTGACACCAATAAAAGCTCATCTTCAAATCCTTTTTTATTCCTTCACCTTTTTCATATAATACTGTGAGCATATTTTGTGCATCAATATTGCCATTTTCTGCTGCATTATGATACCAGTAAGTAGCTCGTTCTAAATTCTTTTCTAAAACTTCTCCACATTGATAATATCTAGCTAAATTGTACATTGCAACTTCATTACCATTTTCTGCAGCTTTTTGGTACCAGTAAATAGCCTTCTCTAAATTTTTATCTATTCCGTTTCCATCTTGATAACATTTAGCCAAATTATACATTGCTATTTCATAATCATTTTCAGCTGCTTTCTGATACCAATAAAAAGATTTTTCTAAATTTTTTTCTATTTTTTCACCCTTTTTATATAGATATGCAAGATTATTCTGTCCTCTAATATATCCATTTGCTGCTGCTTTTTGATACCAACAAAGTGCTTGTTTCGAACTTAATCCTGTTAATTCACCTTTTTCATATAAATCTATGAGTTTATTTTGTGCTGCAGTAGAACCTTTTTCAGCTGCATTTTGATACCAATTAAATGCTTTATTTAAATTTTGTTCAATTCCATCTCCATTATGATAACAAAAAGCTACATTGTACATTGCAATTATACTACTATTTTCTGCTGCTATTTGATACCAGTAAAATGCTTTTTCTAAATTTTTTTCTGTTCCTTCTCCATTATAATAAAATAAAGCTAAATTATCCATTGCAACTAAATTATTATTTTCTGCTGATTTTTGATACCAATAAAAGGCTTTTTCTAAATTCTTTTCTGTTCCTTCTCCATTATAATAACATAAAGCTAAATTATTCAATGCAACTATATTATCTTTATCTACAGCTTTTTGATACCAATAAAATGCTTTTTCCAAGTTCTTTTCTGTTCCTACTCCATTATAATAACATAATGCTAAATTATTCATTGCAACTAAATTATTATTTTCTGCTGATTTTTGATACCAATAAAATGCTTTTTCTAAATTTTTTTC